TTTTTTTTTTTTTTTTTTTTTTTTTTTTTTTTTTTTTTTTTTTTTTTTTTTTTTTTTTTTGTAAAAAATATATGCTTAGAAAATAGTTGACAATATCTGACAGATTATTTATTGCAAATAATTTTTTGTACCTTTTTAATTTAGCATTTTGAGGAAGATGATGATGAAGAAGAGGATGATGATAATGATGATGATGAAAGTGAGAGTAATGAAGAAGATGATGAAGAATTAGATGCTGAAATGAATTATGATCAGGACACTGAAGTAATTTGAAGATTTTGTGATAGCTTTGTTGCAGTAAGAAATTAATTTATTAAATTTTTAATCTATATTTTGTGTATCTTGTATTTTGAAGGAAAGTACTCATCTTGTTAAAAAAAAAATTTAGAATTATTTTTTAAATTTGAATTTTCTTGAAAATATTTAACATTAATTACAAATAAAATATATTTTTTGATCACACTTTGGGTTAACTAAAGAACAAAATGCATACTTTTTTTATTTTTTGTGACTGTTGTAATACCTGCTCCCTCATTAAAATAGAATAAATATTTTTCTGCATGAGTTGATATTACAGCAAGCATAAGTCAATCTATGGAAAATGTGTATAATTTTTATATTGCAGTTTATTTTTCTCAGATTGTTTAATTTCTTGTTAAATGTCTTGTTTTAGATAATGCAGTCTAACTACGAATATCAGATGAAATGTTTTTCACCCTGATTTTTGTGATAATATTTGTTGCAAAAGGAAATTTGTGTACCAAAATGGCTTATTTAGGCACTAACTATGTAACTAATTTAAATGAAAAGTAAGAAATAAAAATCGTAAAGCATAAATTATGAGAAAATAACATTAATGGTTTAAATTTTTGCAATTCATTATGATTTGCTCATTTGTATTTTAATAAAATAGGACTAAAAAACAATTACTATACCAATTTGAATAAAATTCAAACTGTATTTTTCCACCATTTTTACTATTTTGTACCTGTAAAAGTCTTGAGACAAAAGTAGAGTGTAAAAATATTTGCGTAATCATAGTATTTTTTTTAAATGATTATTCAATATTATCTCATTTTTTTAATCTCAACAGTAGGCCCACACTAGGTGATCATTATTTACCCCAGAAACAGAGTGATCGTGAATTACCCCGGGTCACCCTACTTCTGTATAGTGATCTGTTGCGCCAACTATAATTGAAAAGGCGCCAAATAGATTTTAAACTCGTAAAAGCTTTGAAAATAGTGATGGTTGATGTAACAAGAAATCTTACCAATTTGAAAATTTCAGGCTGAAAATCCAAGTCAAAAAAACAGAAAGCATTGGGAAAACTTTATTTAATATGCCAAGGACTACTTTAAATTTAAATGGTTTAATGGTAACGCATTACTAAAATGCTTGCCAAGTTGTCATCTTGACAATGATTCTGAAGATTTTGGTGACTTATGTTCCAAAGTTTTTCTCCCGTTTCAAGGCTCAAGATGCATTAGGAAATAAGATACTCTACTATCTCTTGGAAGCCTGGTTACTTTTCTGCTATAGTCTGGGTTATTCTGCTCTCTCTATCTGCTATACTCTACTATCTGCTATAGTCTTTTCTGCTATATTCTGCTATAGTCATACAGGGGTCTGTCTAGGCCAAATTTACTACCGTTTAGCGGTACCTTCACAAATTCAACTTAATGAAAAACTGTAGTTTTGCACAATACTTTTTCTTAAAATTTTATTTTTGTATCCCTCAAGAAACGATAAATCCATATTTTTGTTTTGAATTTTTAATATAATTTTTAATTTTTAGAAATTATGTCTAAATTTTCACAAAATAAGTACCTCACAGAAAAACCTAGACCCCTGCAATATATGAATCAAGATCAAGCACCTTTTATTGCTTTAGAGTTGCATAGCCTCATCGAAAAAACAGAACATAATTAATTAGTTGTACATAATTAATTAAACCACTGCAATCGTGTGATGGCACTTTAATGTCAGCAAACCAAACATCTGACTTTGTGAATTTGCCATTAAATTTCATTGAATGATCCAATATTGCAGAAGTCTGAAATTTAAAAGTCAGTAATGACATAATTATTATGTAATTACTTGAATTTATTTTAATGCCTTCTTTTCGTCAGAATAAAGTAACTGTAAATCTAAGAAGTCTGGCCATTGGGTATTTCACAACATTATTGAAAAATATAATCAAAAATTTAAATTGTCGACATTTTCATTGGTAATTTACAAGCGTGTTTCTTCTAAATCCATTGTATTTCATTTTAGACTATTAAACAGAGAAGGAACCTTATTAGCTTATTCTGGTTATGCTGGAAAAGATGCAAAACTCACTGCTGCAATCACAAGTAACATATGGATGACGTACGAAAAAAGCGGATGCACTGCCTTTAATTCGGAAGCTTTGAAGTTTATTATTATCGATTGTGAGGTAATAAAATTTGATTCATTACAATAATTTTTTTCCTTGACACTAAACGTTTAATATTCATTACAGTAGATATTATTTATAATAGCTTTGCCTTTTACTTAATACAATTTAAATTTTTAGAAAAAAATAACCGACAATTTTATTTCAAGTAATTCTTTCTTCCTTTAATATTAATATCAAAAGTACAATAAAACTCCAATAATATGCGCTAATTAGAAGTTTTACTAGTTGCTGCTCCCAATTCAGAAAGCATATTCTCGATTAAGTTATTGATATGAACATCGTGTAATTTCGACAAATAATGATATTATATTGATCCTTTGATATTATACTGTTTTTTAATAATTTTTGCCTATAAAGCAATACATTATTTCAGGTGCTTCTTTTAACCATGTAGAAAATTGTCCGGTTTGATTTACACTTAAATTGAGTTTTTTCTTTACTTTAATAATACAAATTCATGAAAGTCAGGATTTATATTCATTGTAATCTGAAACAAAAATTATAATTATCCTCAATTTTGATCACAATTGAAATCCGCATAATTTTTTTTTACCTATTCTAGAAGCGAAAGCAAGTGATATATTAAGAGGCATGTCTACACGAATTTTCAATGAAGATTTTTAACGATTGGTTCATAATTATTATTATTTAAAGCATGGGAGAGTGACACATTTGTTTTCATCGCATTATAAATAAATAGCAAATCGCAGCTTTTGTGATACTTTGACTATGAATAACTACAACTTTTTTTTTTAAATCTACTTATAAAAAACTACTTTCTATGAATGTAACTATTTTCATTGAAATAAAATTTATTTGCCATTTTAATGTTGGTTTTGGAATATTATATACCTACTTTTAGGAGACGCATTTTGCTGAACGATTCAATTTGCAGTTTTGTTCAACATAAAAAGATTGTTAGAAAAAAAAATTTGAAAAATAAGTTCAGAGTAATTTATTTTGCTTATTTAAATATGGGATAATTATGAAGGATTATCTATTCATTTTCACATGAGCAAATCTATTATTCTAAATCTTTTTTTCAACCTTTAATTTTGTATTATTTTGAATATTTAATTCAGAAAATGTTAAAAAAAATAATCAAATATTTGTAATAAAGTAAATTGAAAGTTACGGAGCAAAATATGTTTCTCTTTGTCATAATAACTTGCACATATTTTAGTTTTAATCATGCGTGTACGTTTCCATTTAAGAGCATGGATATGTTATGAGAGAATAGATAAACTGGCTTTAAATCATAATGGTTGAATGAAATAAGCTTTCGGCTTCAGAGACATTATCTTTGTACCGTTAACAGACTCTCTCTTATTAGTACCCATCAAATATGAAAAATTAATTACATTTGAACCTTGTTTCTTCACTAAACTTACTCTAAAAGTAATTGCAGGAACTCCTGCAAACTAGTTTTTTTTTCTCTTTTTTATCACACAAACCATCACACTATATTTTCTAAAAAATGGCACAGTGCACTACAAAGTACAAACAAAAAATTGCAACTGTAGTGGTTTTATTACTTGTATGTTAATTCCAATCATTGTCCATTGTATGTCAATTCCACACTTGTCCCAATACCCTGAAATGCACTGTCTCTTTACAACTTTTGTTTTATTTTTTTAATTTTTTTTTTTTCTTTGGCATTGTTTATAGAATTGTTTGATGAACTAACCTGTATTATGAAATATATTTGTGTTCAGACAGCATAGCAAATTTTGGTTCTTGCGCCATCTATGTTCATGGAAAAGCACTATTATCATTTATAAAGTCTTACCTAAAAATGCCTGAGTCTAGTCTGTAACTGGCAATTTTATTTTTCAAATGACTATAAAACATTTATAGACTCTTCGTACATTTTTTTTACAGTCTAATTTAAAGTACTTTTGTAAGAATCCTTATAAGTGTACCTGTAGATATTTTTTATTTCTTTTACAAAAAATATTTGTTTCATAATTTATGGTGTGAGCTTACATTCATTATTTTCATGTAGGATGGCTATGTTGCAGTTACAAGTGTGGCAAATTTATTGCTTTGCCTCCAAGCTGATACATCAGTAGATCTTGGAATACTCAAGGCCAAAGCCGAAGCATTAGCAAAATACCTAGAAGTTCCATTAAATCAAGTTTCTTCATCTGTGTAAAAAAAATTTATAATTTAAATGCAAAGATTTTTATTTTGTCTTAGGTGGAATTTTAAATCTATTTAAAAGTAAACCTTTTTAAGTAATATATTTTATTTTCCATTTTCATTGTCTGATTAATATTTAATAAAGGTCAGAATAAGTTCTTAATTTGTTATATTTTTTAATAGTGTAAATAAGTATGAAAATCTTAATATATAGAAATTATATCTCATGTTACAAACTATTTTAATAAAATACTTGTAATAAAATTGTTACAAAATATTAAATTAAGCAAAATCTTTATTTTTTTCACTTTAACTTTTTCTAATTATTTGTGTCATTGCTTTTGAAGTAGAGTTTTGGAAGTTGACTGTTTCGAAATGTATATTGAAATGTAAAATAGCACTGACAATTATCGCAAACAATGCTCAGCTACTGATCACCCCTTTTAGTATAAAACTATTTCGTTGTTGAATTGTTTAGTATTCAATTCATAAATTGGAATAATTACTGTTAATTTCAAGTAAAATGAACATACTTTGATATTTTAAATTTTACTTTCTAAGCATTAAGATTTTGGAAATTGTACGTATAATTTTGTTATTTTAATATTGTTTTTTTATCAAGTCTTCTTGTTTTGCTCTTTTGAATGGTTTAAACGCTGTAAATAAAAATAAATGTTTTGATCCTTTGTAATATGTAGTTTTTACTTTTGTATTTAGTTATTCGAGTTGTATAATAAATCAAGATGTTATAATATTGCGAAATTTTGTTTTTAAAATCTATTTTTATTACTTTCTTAATGCTTTTTGAAATTGCTATTCTTGAATATTTTTTCACTGCAGTAAGTGTCTTTTTTTTTCTAATTTAAGATATTTGTAAATTTACATGAAAGTAATATTTTATTTAATTTACATTTTAGCTTTACTGATAGCCGTTAAGTGCACTCCTGAAGCGTTTCCATTGTGCCAGATCACTTCCACCATTGCCTGATGCAGATCACTAATTTCTACATATTTATTTTATGGGTAATACAAATGATCAAGTAAATCAACGTTGTCAGTTTATGGCAATGGAACTAAAGGAGAAATTGCGGCAGCTTTACAAAATTATTTCGATCAGCATAATCAGACTACTCAGAACTGCTTTTGACAAAATGCCATCAGATAATTACAAAGTTGTTATTAAAGCTGACTAAACACATGCAGGCTACCATAAAAGAAAATACAATGCACAAACATTGGATGAGGTGCCTATTGTTAAAGTTGGTGAAGAATTGACTTGCCGCGATATGACTGTTCATATAGATTCACAGAAATTTTTTAGAAGTACATTTTTCTTTACAAAAAAAAAAAATACATACATTATATTCCAAAATAAATAAGATATTTATGAAAATACATATTAAATATTAAAAAAAAAACTTGATTATTCAGTATTAGACTTACATCACAGTACACTTAGGACAATTTTTAAAAATAAAAGTGCAACAAATAAATTTGGTTTGCTTTACATGCTAATTTCATTCAAAATCAAAAAATTTTCAAAAATCAGTAATATTGCTCAAATTCTTTTAAAAAGTTGAAAAAAAATCATTTTTATTTTTGAATATTTAAAAAAAAATAGTTTTGCTTTATGATTATAAAGAACACATCTAGAAACTTGAGCATTCAATTGCTCATTGTGAACCTTCTGCTTGTTTTACGTTGCTTAGTTCGTGTTCTATGTTCCAAATTAAAACAGTATTGACATAGTTTGATCATGTGTTCAGGTGATTTTGAGAATCAAAAAATATATCACCTAAATCAGTTTTATTTCGATTTCACCTAATGATTGTGAGTATAAATTTATTACTCATGTTTATTTATTATTGTTGAAATGAGAAACTCCAATGGCACAAAATATGTTCGAATAATTTAAAAGTTATGCTACTTAAATACGTTTTCCTTTAGAGAGTAGTAATTTTAATTCGAAGGTTTTTTTCTTAAATTGGAGGTGTCTACTTTTTAATGTTTTATTTTTTAGTTTAGTAAAAACTATTATATCAAGCTAAAACTTAGAAGTGTTTTTAGCATAAATTTTAATACATTTGTTAGATATTATTTAAAAAATAACAAATTTTAATCAAGAAATTAGTGATATTTCTGAAAATTGTATTTGCTGTCCAATGTGTGAACTACAGAATTCTCGTGGAACGTTTTTTGGATTCAATATTAAAAGTCTAAGTTTTTGTCTGATACTATTGTATTTTTTCCAAATGTTTTTTTATAAATATATATATATATCCGTCGTTGAACAGCTGACCCAATTTTATAGGTTTACGACTACTAATGTTCAACTACATATCCTTGTAATTTTGAATCCAAACCATTGGTTTGAGCACGGGAACTCCTGGATCGATTAGTGGGAGAAATTTGCCTTCGTGGAGGACATTTTGATGAACCTAACCCTCATTTGCGTTACATGGAGAGGACCACGAGAACCTAACGCGGTTAGCCTGGCGGCAAGGGGACTCTAACCCATGATCCGTCTACCACTGAGAATACTTCACGTCAGCACTGTGGTCGGTGCAAGCCGGATGCGGAATTCGTATCGACTGGGATTCGAACCCGGTTCTAATCCCAGTTCTAATTCACCGCTCTACCCCCTGAGCCATCGCGACTCAAGTTCTTTGGTTTACAAACAAGTTTAAGAGAGAAATATCCCGCTGCAATTTTTTTTAAATGCCTATGACATAATAACTAAATAATAAAGTATGTGATCCATAAACATCTATTTTGAGTTTTTGATAAAATAGTCGCATTTCATTTAAACTATTTATAATATAAAATGCTTTTTAGTAAATTTCGCAGGAGAATGTAATGAGAATTATTTTGCTAACTAAATAGTTTCAATTGATAATACGAGGAATTTAAATATTAATGCAAAGTTCTCAGTATTAGAGCAACATTAAAAAGAAAATTATTCATTATTTTATTATAAGATCTTTAATATATCTACTACATTAAGCAATAATGGAGCAATCGTAAATTACAATGTACACAAAAAATTCGACTGAGTTCATCATGAATATTAATTAGAAATGTTCTTTAAAGAAAACTAACGCTAAGTAGGAGACTTATAACCTTGCTTGGTGTTCAAAGAGTCCATTCAATTAACTTCTTAATAATGACCAAGTTTTTATTCCAAACAATAGAAATGTGAAATCCAAACTTGCATATTTTTGGATTACATTATTCTTTTCTTTAGATACGTTTGTTTTTTAACTGTTTTACTTCCTTTCGCTTTACTAATTTTCCTAAAAAAATTTTTTTTGAGGAATAGCCCATTTTTCCGGAAAATTAGTAATACCAATCGAGATAGAGTGTTATACAAATTAAAAACTGTCTCCATTTTTTATTATTTAGAAAACATTTTTCTGACCTCTAATTCAGTAAATTTAAAAGAAAAACCTTATTACAAAGTATTTAAGTCACCATTATTAATAAAAATTTCAGAGATGAAATTTATTTCCAAAATAAGACACCCTCGTATTACTATCATATAATTTTCGACATGCATCCCACAAGTTATCTAAATCCTTACTAAACTGGTCTTTTTTTGTCAAAATGCCATCCCAATTGGGATGGCATTAGGCAAAGCGTTCTAAAGGTATCTTGAAACTGTCCTAGTTATGACATCATTAAGCTATCTGCAGGTGAGACATTTTAACACGCAGATGACATCCGTAGGACATTTAGCGGTAAATGTAGGACTTCCTCTGAAAGTCACAGAATCCTAAAGTAAAGATGACAACTTTAGGATGTTGTAACGAAGTCAATGTGCTGTATGGGTAGTACATAGCTTAAACTTAATTCGTGCACAAAGCCGCGGGATGCGTCTTTGAGGATGATTTTCAATTTTTACAGAAACTCATCTCTTTTTTTTTCTTCAGTTCTACCCATAGGAGGAATACCTTATCTGAATGCTTAGAATCTGCATTAGCCCTTGTGTCTCCCAGTGTTATCTTCTATCGATAGGTGCGTAAACAAAATTTTTTTTTCTACGAAATATAAATGTTTCAGTTTTTAAACAGGGACAATTAAAGCACTGGTAAAAGTTAGTTATTCAGGTTTATGATAATTCAATTTTAAAAAGCCAATAGAACTGTGCAATTTTCGCGCATACTGTTTACGTCATAGAAGAAGATTGATGTTTTTTAGAGGGATTAAGCATCAGAATAAAATATATTAGAAAATAAAATATACTTGTTTTGAGATTACTGAAATATTTAAAAGATCTTGCTTTTTGATGGAAACTCAGCTCACTTAGTTGCAGTTACAACAGCACAGGGTTCATGCTAGGAACTTAAATAAATATGGAAAATTACCGGAATATATCAGAATCATAGAATTTTTTTTCTTTTTCATTTACTGTTACAAATGTTTTTTTCTTCTGGTTATTCATGTTTCTTCCTTTATAATTACATTCGGAAACTTGAACTCGGAAGTATTTGACCTTGTATATTTCGTTTGTGAAGTTTGTAAATTTAACGCAAATTTCGTTTGGAAAAATACAGATGTATATAAAAATGATTTTTCGTTTAGTTTTTTTGGCTGAATATTTAAAACCAAATGATGTAAAAATGTCACGACTTAAATTCAGGTATATCAACTTGCTCCACTTTGTAAAAATGTATTTTCTCGTAGTAACGTNCCCCCCCCCCCCCCCTACGTACTACAAAAATGGAAACACTTAGTATTCACTGGAATGAATTTTTTTTAAAAAAGCCCTGATTTGGAATTGAATGTGATATGGTGCTCCACTTAACAAGTGGTTCATATTTGAAAGAGAAAAAAAACTACATCTTTTGGCCATAAATGGTTAAAAAATATTAAGACATCGCATAAGAAACGCTCTACTCATTTCTCCACTAAGGAAAATATCGCGAACAATGAAAAGATAATTGGGATCGTTGAAATATATTTAAGCAGCTGATGCTATGTTCAGATCATGATTAAAATAAAATATTAAAACTGTTTTCAATTAACTCTTTTGAATGATTTAAATTGACAACATTTCGATTCCTTAGAGTTAATACTTTTACAGTGAAAACGTATCTTTTACACTAATCTGCTATTCTCAGGTATATCAACTTGCTCCACTTTGTAAAAATGTATTTTCTCGTAGTAACGTAAATTATGTTTCTCTTAGGCAAGTATTTTTTATTTTAAGTATTTTTTCCACAAAACTCCTATCAAAAATGCAAAACATCATATGAAATGCAACATTATTGTATCTATTTCGTGGTTACTATTTTAAGGCTCATGCTTAATTTTTTTCTATTTGATGTATCACCAATTTCTTAAAACATTCGCAGAAAGAAAATCAGTTTTCATCCCTGGTTGTTTATTGAGAAAATATTGGAAATTTTATGAATGACAATACAACAATTATATTCTCATATAACAATTAAAATAAAAACACTTGACCTTTACATATTACATTGTATTCCTTAGATTTCCCAAAAATAACACAGAATAATATCTATAATTATCTATTGCAAATAACATATTGTAATTCATATTGTGAGTATACACAACGTTTGTCTAAATATTTTGAAATTCTTTTTTCTTTTTCTGAAATAATCAAAAAGCAAATAACTTCTTCAATATTCAAACAGTCTCCTTCGAAATTCAATTAGCCATTTGTTTCATATAAAATGTGCATAAATTAACAAGTTCAAGGGAAATCAAATTATATCGTCAATAATATCGTCATTAAAGTCGAGTATCTTTCCATGCATAGTAAGCGTTTTGTAGGAAAACAGCTTTTGTGAAGTAATATCAAATTATATAGTAAGGACAATTTTAAAAACAATAATTAATATAATTCAGTCGTAATATTGCTAATTCCTTTGGTAATATTACCTCCAAGTACGCCGATATAAAAACTGGTCGTACCTTTAACTTAAGCAATTCGAGGACCAGGAGTGGTTATTAAGTTACGTCTGATGTCACTATTCTGATGAGTTCGCGCCTTTTTGACACTGCACTTCTTCCTTTTCTTCTTCTTCTGTTTTACTGCTGTTGAGTCGGTCTCTGGGATGGTAGTTGAGACTCTTTTGTGTTGTCGGGAGTCACCTCTGGCACAGTAGTTTCCATAACTGAATTAGTTGGGTCTGTCCAACACCTCCTAGAAGAACGAAGGCCTCAGCACGGATCAATTTAGTAGTCCGACGTGACGAACATAAACTGCGCAGTCGATGAAAAAGAAGAAAGATGTCACCACATTTGGGCTACTAAGTTGCGCAGTGGTGGAAAATACGAGAGATGTCATTACGTTTGGACTACTAAAGGATCAAATTTCTTGTTTATGGTAACCCGTGCTAAGGTCTTCTCTTTTCTAGGAGGTATTGGTCTGTCTCTGGGATGGGAGTATAGAGATTGAATCCTCTATGTCAGTAGCTACAACTGGGGTAGGCTCCTCTGGAATTATTGGAATAACAACAGTAGTTGTTGTCTGGATGACAGTTGAGTCTTTAAGAGCTTCCAATGCTTCAATAGAGTAAATCCACTCATAATAGGCTGGATATACATTGGGGTTATTAGGAGCTAATTTGAGTCCCGCAGTGGACTGATCGTTTAAGACACGGTTCCCAGTAGATCACCGAAGTCAAGCATCACTGGCTGCGGTCAGTGTGCGGGTGGGTGACCACTTGGATCAGCCTGCGTAGGGACCGAGGGCGTGCGGTATTGGTTCTCGTTAAACTGTTCTACCGTAAAGTGCTCGACTTCGCGCACAGGTCGTCGGACTACCGAAGCGGGTGAGCCATCCCCTCCGCAGAGGATCAAAATTGTGATGGAATGTCTTCGGATCATCCTCAAGGATGTTTCCCAGATTGTCGCCAATAGCCCATTGTGCAGCTCTAGTGCGACTTAAATGAACAACAATAATAGGAGCTAATTTGATTATCCTTGAAGATTCATCGGCGTTAGCTTGAAATTTTTGAAATTGTCGATCAATCCTTTCCATATCCACACTTCCGTCTTTAGCACAAAGGACGAGGAACTTGATTTTCTTTCTCGACCGCTCTTTAATGGCTTCGTGACCTACGACTTTATCCAACTTTAGCAAAACTGCTGCGAATAGTACGATCTGTAACATCATAGTTCCATGCTTCAGAAATTTCTGTTATGCTTTCTCGTACTTTGATTTTTGTCATGGATTCCTGTATAAAATTCAAACAAAAAAAAGGAAAAGTATTGCACTGCTTTCTCTAAAAGTTAAGTGGCTGTACAAATCATTTCAAGGTCATTTCCCCCATAAAATGCGTTAACAAGTTTGAAATATTTCTATGAAATAGTCTTCATTACTTAGCTACCCTTCACAATACTTTCTCACATACATAAACATCCTATGACAAGGGAAATATTCATGACAAATGAAACGTTGACCTCATTCACATATTTTTTTAAAAATTACTTAGAAATAAATTTGATTTTGGAATTTCTTAATTAGAACATAATACATTTTTCAATAGTTTAGTCAAATATAGACTCAGAAATGTTCAAATATGATTTGTTATTAAGTTTGTGATAAGTTACATAATTTAAATAGTTTTCATAAAATTTGCTTTAGCAATATTTTTGTTTATACAATATTTGCCTAAATAATTTTTATAAGATCAAAACTTTTTTTTTACAAACCATAGTCAAGTTAATTTTGTTTTGTGCCTAACTTCGCAGTCTTGATTACAACGCTGCATTGCTCATAAAAACATGCAAAATTAAGAATTATCTATTGATATTTAGATAATATTTATCTAAGTATAACGCGATCTACCGATTTTTTTAAAAAAAGTTAGACAATGCCTTAAATATTTTAGCAATTTTTTTTAAAAAAAAGTGTAATCAGTGTTCTGCTTCAATCAAATCAAATTCAGGCTTTTTTTTATTTCCCTTTAGTTATAAGTAGTAGATTCTCAAGAATGGTTTATTTCAAATAAGTTTAATCTAAAAATTCAAAAGAATGTTATTCTAAGAAAAGCATGCCTCCATCAGAAGTTGATCCAAAATTTTGAGGGATTAATAACGGATTACTTGGCCTGTTGGAAAGCGGATATTAGTGATTTCTGTTTTGAGAATTTTAAAATGTAAAGACAACCCTCCATATATAATGTTCAATTTTTACAATTTCGAAAATATTTGATAAATTACGAAATGCTTTTTTAACTTATTCACTTATAATTTCTGCAATTGTCAGTATATGATACTCAGACATACAAAACATATGTTGAAAACAGAACTTTTAAACCTCAAAAACGTCAGTTACAGGGAAAAAAGGACAATACACGTCAACATGTCACTAGACGACGAATGTGATATTATGTTAGATTTAGATTTTTCGAATTACTTTGTTCTATCTATCAAAGCAGATGGCAGAGACGCAGATGGCAGACAGTAAGAATCATTGCTTCGATAGTATATAAATAACTACTCAAGACAGCGTTTTGATACTTTTTGAAAACTCTTTTGGTTGCTGAAAAGTAAGTATTGATTTTCTTTTTTATTTCAAACGACATGGGGTTAGATTCGAATTCTGCGCATGAAAGTACAGCGTTGATGCGTCTGAAGCGGGAGATGAGTTTAGAGGAGTTGTCTGCTCTCTGCAAACGATTGGAAAAGGGTAAGAACGTTTCAGACACATGGCTTGGCATGGCGGGTGCTGTAGCATCGGTTGCAGGTGCTTTGCTTATGCCGGGATTAGGAGTGATCATGGGCGGCATAATGCTGGGAACTTCAGCTGCTAAGGGTTTGCTGGGTGACGCCAGTATCGAAAGAGATTGCGCTGACGTTCCGTTCAAAGAATTAGAACAAAGACTGGACAAAAAATTTAACGAAGTCAACCGTAAATTGGATCAGCAAGCAGAGATTTTGAAAGACATTTCTGAAAAAGTGAGCGAAACGCTTTCTCAGCTCGAGTTAACCAGGCAAGAGATGAACGCTGGGTTTGAGAGCATTCTAAAGTCCATTACAGCTCAGGGCATCAGCGACATCACATCCGACATCGAAAACGCGAGGATATCAATTGCTTTCAGCGAAAGTAATAAAAGGGAGGCGAGCAAAGAAGAATACGTAAACATAATAAAACAAGAATTAAAAGATAATTTTCTATTTAATTATGTGAAACAGCAAGGTACTTTGTTTGAAGCGCTGTTTTCGATGATCAACAAGAAATACGCGGTTCCGAATAACATAGACGATCAGAATGCGTATAACGCCCTCGCAGCTTTGAACTTCGGCACACTGACGTACGCTTCGATTGTTTTTTCCCTTTTAGAGGAGTACGTGTACATATCCGAATACTTCTATCAAACGAACGAACTTCATGAGTTCAACCAACATTTAGATAAACTTTTGTTTTACTTTACCACTTTCAAGCGCATTATAAATACAAATCGCAATGGTTTAATCGATAAAGTCATTCAGTTGTTGGATAGCGCTAAAAACAGCCATGACATGCGAAACTCTAAGAAAGATTTGTACAGTGCTTTTGAAAGTCACATTTCAACGTTAAGGCAGTTGAAACAAAAAATAAATGGCATCATCTTACCAGTTATCGATAAAGCACCGATAAACGACATCGATATATCATTCAGGTCTTACGACGGTGTAAGAAGCAGCAGTACTAACTTTTTAGATTGGAAGCGTGGTGCTAAGGTCAGCTACGCTTTACAATTTGAAAGCGATGGTAAATATTCTAAAATAAGCAAATGGCTGTCACCGCAGGAAGTTATTGATATCGCTAACCCTGACATTCAGTTGCGAAATTCCAATCGAATGAACAGGCTCGTCTTTCGAAAATTCGACAATAATCCCCCGGAGTTGATACGAGTCGTATCATCAAACGCTCAAAGAGCCTTCAGGGATGTAGACAGAGATTTGTATGATTTAGCTTTTGTTGATTCTTACCAAGATTATGAGATTTTGAATAAAATGAATAAACTCATAAGTCTGGGAGCAAGTGTCAAGGCGGTGTTCGAGAACAAGAGGGGGGTTATCCACGCTGCCGCAGAATCGGGGAGGGTGGTGATGTTGAAGCGGATATTAGACATTGATCGTTCGCTGATCAATCAGAAAGATTCAATTGGGTACACCCCGCTGCATATAGCTACGGAAAGAAAAAAGGTCGATGTCGTGAAAGAACTTATTGGAAGGGGGGCGGACGTAAACGCTCAATCGAACACTTATCACTTGACACCCATACATCTAGCCGTTCGTTATCAGTCTGAAGACATCGTGAAAGAACTGCTGGCAAGTCCCAACATCAATCCGAACGAACAAGACAAGGCTGGAATGACTCCCTTGCATATCAGCGTGTCGGATGAAACTTTTAGTTCGACTATTGTTTGGAGGTTATTAATCAATAGGAAGGTTGATCCGAATGTGAAAGACGCAAATGGTTTAGCACCCGTCCATTACTCTGCCATTTTGGGACTATACATGGTTACCCAGCAGTTCCAGCAGAGGAGGAATGTCGATATGTTCCCAAAGGACATCACTGGCATGACTCCGCTTCATTACGCCGCTATGAAGGGACACGAGGGGTTGATTACGGACTTAATGACCAACAATAGGAGCCACATCAATGACGTGGCTGGGGAGAGGAAGTGGTCTCCTCTGCACTACGCAGTATTCTTCAAGCAAGCAGAATTTGCCCAACGTCTGCCATCGCTCGTCGACAACCAGCCATACATAGACGTAGATTGCGCTGACGTAGACAAACAGACACCTCTGCATTTAGCCGCTGCAAGTGGTCAAAAAGACGTGGTGAGCACTTTCATTGCGAGAGGAGCGAAAGTTTACTTAAAAACAGTTAATGACCACACACCCCTCGATCTGGCAATCATCCATGGAAAGAAAGACATCATCGAAGAGTTACTGAAAGCGGAAGAGAGGCAGAAAACGCAAACAGGTAAACCAGCAAGGGAGGAAGATACACTGGCGTGTGACTTAGCCAAGGGAGATATTCTTACTATGCTGATACAAGCAAACCGATGCAGCAGCAAATTTCTGCGTGCAACCGATCACCAAAAAGATCGTCATATTCGATCATCACTGATTGAATCTATCAGGTCAAAATTAAACGTAACTAGTGACAACATGAATCGTCACGTCAGAAAGATAGTATCAGGAAATGAGAATCTTCGCGGGGAAAAATCATTAAGTTCCTCAAAGCCCAGGGAAAATTTGGATCGGAAAGGTAGCACAGTTTTAAAGCACGCAGACGTTAACGGTGCTTTACTTTTACTCGATTTGTTTGTTAGAAAATTTACTAATGAGAAATATAATTCAGATTGGGTTAATGACGATGAGCAGTTAGAAGCGCGTGCTCGCACGTTGAGCATCATGGAGAGTCTAGAAAAGGTCATGGAATCGGTGGCAAAAGAAGTAGACCTGTTCGACGTACATTCGAAAATCTATAAAGCTGTCTTGAGTGGTAATGAAAACAAACTATTAAGTACGTTATGCTCGTACGTCATAGATAACTCGTCTTTGGAGCCAAAAAATGTCGATAAGATAGTGACACACGTCCTTGAGAATAGTTTCATCACCAGCAATCCTAAAAAATTGACCGGAAAGTTTCAAAATGTCGTTACTTACACTTGTTATTAGAATATTATCTTCTGTTTGCGTGTAGTAAAGAGCAGTTTGAAGAATAAATGAATTGCATTTTTTGATTTACTTTAGATGACGCTATGCCATGGGAGAAACTTTTAATGGCAAGTTTTTTCCCCCATTTTCTTAGGTATAGTTTGTTCAACAGGAGTTGGGACTTGGCTCCGTCGATACTATTTCGCTATTTTTAGGAGAAACAATGCTGAACATGGTCACTATTTGGTGACCGTATAAGAAAAAATATTTATTTCGTAATCTTTATTAGCAATATTTTAACATTAAATATTTCCCCCCATTTCTCATGATATTTCTCTCTTTTGAGTGAATAGTTTGTCCTTTTTGAGACATTTTGCTGGGAAAAACAGCAGTTTTTAAATTTAAAATATGTTTAATTAGCTAGAGTAACAAAAGGTATAATAGCAAATGATAAAAACGAAGTTAGTGACTGAAAAAGAATTCACTGTTTGCGTTTGGCACGCATTTAGGGTTGTCTCAATTTCAAGCTGCGCGGGTATGCTTCCCGCGCTGAAATGAATTCTGTGTTTGAGGAGGTGGTTGCCAAATACCAACTCTTGGTGAACGAACTATCGTTAAAGATTTAAAGTTTAGCGAAAAGTGAATTCATGTAATCCTAGAGTGAAGCACGAAGTTTCAACTAATGAAAAAGTTTTTCAAAATATACTAGGGGGGGGGTGCAAAGCTCCCTGTTCGCTGCAGCTCACCAACCCCGATGATTGCTTCGCAATAATTACTGTTTCTTGGCTTAAAACAATTGAAATTATTCAACTAAAAATATATGTACCGCTTGAAAAGAACACTTGAGCCTCCTCTTCCAACGTCCAAATACTTTCCTTGTGATACTATTGAGAACTATAAGTGAACATAAATCATTTTTCTTAGTAATCACTTTTTGAAATAACTTTTAAAATTAAAAGTATATTGTTATAACAAATTTCGTAAGTTTGTGGCGTAACTACCACTGCAAATATTAAATACGAATTCACTATTATATAAAACATGTTAATTTGATTCCATCTTGAGGTACCTTTTGATAGATGANGGGGGTGCAAAACTCCCTGTTCGCTGCAGCTCACCAACCCCGATGATTGCTTCGCAATAATTATTGTTTCTTGGCTTAAAACAATTGAAATTATTCAACTAAAAATATATGTATCGCTTGAAAAGAACACTTGAGCCTCCTCTTCCCACGTCCAAATACTTTCCTTGTGATACTATTGAGAACTATAAGTGAACATAAATCATTTTTCTTAGTAATCACTTTTTGAAATAACTTTTAAAATTAAAAGTATATTGTTATAACAAATCTCGTAAGTTTGTGGCGTAACAACCACTGCAAATATTAAATACGAATTCACTATTATATAAAACATGTTAATTTGATTCCATCTTCAGGTACCTTTTGATAGATGAAGGTTGACCTGCGGACGTGATATGAATTTGCCTTGAATAAATCATTTTTCTTAGTAATCACTTTTTGAAAAAACTTTTAAAATTAAAAGTATATTGTTATAACAAATTTCGTAAGTTTGTGGCGTAACTACCACTGCAAATATTAAATACGAATTTACTATTATATAAAACATGTTAATTTGATTCCATCTTGAGGTACCTTTTGATAGATGAAGGTTGACCTGCGGACGTGATATGAACTTGCCAATATTGATGGATGGTCCACATTAACTGTTGATTTGCTTAAAAATATACTGCTAAAAAAATCCGGTGAAGTAAATTAAGTTTTTCGGTCAATAAATAATATTGAAAGATAAAAAAATGAGCGAAATGCTATAAATAAGAAAAAATATATAAATAAAAAATAATAATAGAAAAAAAAACCGCATGAAACAAC